TCTTGCTGGATTCGAAGAGTAACAAGATGTAAGGAGGCTTCATTTTCGAAGGAGATAAGTGTTTGGGATTATGGGTTTGTGTTTTCACAAATGTTTAAGTGTTTGAGAAAATTTTGGAGATTCGTCCGTATGGCCTAAAACTCCTCTCTTGAGCTTGCAAATGCTTCTCTATTTATAGAGAAAAGAATCAACATGTTTGAAGTAACCAGGTTCGTATGATGACAAACCATGGTTTGGTTAAAGGTGAAACAAGTCTTGTCCTTTTTCGTTGTTCCCACGTTTCCAGTACAAGTGGGGGCCTGCTAGCAGAAGATTGGACTTGTGCTTCTGGCATTGCTTTTCGTTCAGACATGAATCAGGTTGGAAGCTTCTTTTGTGATAAAAGTACTCTCTATGAAAAAATGGTACGTAGCTTTTGCTGTTTTAACCAAGAATAGTTTATCCAATAGACAAAGCTTATATACTTTGTACAAGCTTCTGATTATGTAAATATTTGGAAGAAAAGTAGCCTGACATGTAGGGTAAGGCTATGATATTTTCTTAAACTTGCTTTGAAGGATCCATAGTTGGGTTCGAAAGATGCTGATTCAAAGGAAATCAAATCTCCAATCGAAGCTTTGTGTGAAGGTGGCTCTTGTCCAATCGAAGGCTTGCCTGCCAGGGGTCACATGTGGCCAAACGAAAGAGTGTACATAGGGGGTCCCTGCCCTGTGACTTCATGCCAACATGCAAAAGATCTATGTTCAAATGAAGCTTGCATGAAGGGAGCCAACATGCCCAAACGAAAGGTGTGACCAGTAGCTTGTACTGAAAGATTCACGTGCCCAAATGAAGCAAACATGAAGGGGGTCAAATGCCCAAACGAAAGGTTTGACCAAAACCTTGTACTGAAAGATTCATGTGCCCAAACGAAGGGTGTGACAAGTAGCTTGTACTGAAGGAACCACATGCCCAAACGAAAGGTGCATGTAGGGAGTCAAAATGTCCAGATTCGAAAGAGGCATATAAGAGGCAAAAAGTGAAAATCGAAGGATGCTAAAAGGGAGCCTTTTGCCTTGGAATCGAAGGAGACTACAAGAGGCTTTGTGCCTTATGAATCCAAACTAACGTGTTAGAGGCCCACACCCAGTCGAAGGATGCAATCCAAGCTTGCATCGAAAGAGGCCAAAAGGCCAATCGAAGGAGCTGAATCGAAGAACACTTGTTTTTCTCCAAATTTGTCAAAATATTATTGTTATCTGTTTTCTCCCCCTTTTGACAGTTTCCTTTTAATCTTGGTACTGGAAAATCCAATGTACTTGTGCAAGCTTGAACCTTGAGAATCCTTGTGAGAAAGGCCTTGAAAAATGAGAGGGTAAATTTTGGGGTACAACAAATGGCGACTTCATTGTTTGATGATTTTCAACCGATTGTTTCACCATCCCTTTAGGTTATTTTCCCCTAAGTCCTTAGTAGGAAAACCTTTAAACATTCATCCTAAATCCTAAATCCTTAGAGACATCTGATGAATTCAAACCTTTGTTTTATCAAGAGTTATTTGGTAAGTATATGGTATCTCTAGTCCTAGGTGATATCTATTATAGTCTAATTGTATAGAAACCTTAACAATTGCGATCTAGCTAATTGCTAACCGTAGAACAATCCTTATTTGTCCGATAAAGAAAGCATGAAAAACCTTGCACAATTAAATCGAATAATAAAAACCATGTAATTGATGAAATCATAAATTCAAAGTTATTACAAAATCAAATCAGAGACACCCCCCTAGAATTGGGGGTTTAGCTACTCATATTGCTCAAAAGAATTTCAATGATATAAAGATTAAACATTACAGATAAATGATGAACTTTGATCTTCAATCGCTGCGGCTCATGAAAAAGCTTTATCCTCCAAGAATCTCATACGTTGCTCTCTTCAATCCTCAATTATTCGTCTAGCAAAAAGTCCTGATTTTCATTGTGGAAACTTGTCTAAATAGTGAACAATCCATTTGTCTCGGTCCAAAATTCCCAAAACGCCCCTCTGGGTCCCAAATCATGAAAAATCATAAAAAGACTCAAAATCAGCGTCCTGGCCAACACGAGGTCGTGTCACCTGACATGGGTACGTGTGTCGGCCTCTGTCCATCGCTCATAAAACACATATCGCCTAGACCTCCTGACACGGGCACCCGTGTCAGACTCTGCCTCTTCTTCTAAATTACAGCTTCACATTCTCTTATGACACGGCCCGTGTCAAGTGACACGGGTGGCCGTGTCAGGAACACTATAGCTTGGTTTTTTTAGACTTCTCTCGAAACTCTGAATTTGCACTTTTCACACTGATTTTTCTAGTTTTATTTCTCTGAGCCTGAAAACAACAAAATACACAACCAACATATAAAACATAGAAGAATGAAATAAAATACTTGACAAAATAAAGAAATGATAACTAAAATCGATTGTAAATAAAGATGGAAAACCCACTGATTACTTCCTTAGCTTGATAAGCCTTGGTCTTTCCAGACGTAAACTTTAGAGCAACTGATTCTACCCTGTTCTGAGGTTCATCTTGATTAAGCTCTATTTCATGACTTGTTAAAGAGCTAATCAGCTCCTCAAGAGAGGTGTTGTTCAGATTCTTTGAAAGTTTCAAAGCAGTTACCATTGGTCTCCATTTTTTAGGCAGACTTCTGATAATCTTCTTAACATGATCTGTTGTAGAGTAACCTTTATTCAGAACCTTAAGTCCTGCCACAAGAGTATGAAATCTTGAAAACATCGTTTCCACATATTCGTCATCTTCCATCTTGAAGGCTTCATATTTTTGAATTAAGGCGAGAGCCTTTGTTTCCTTTACTTGTGCGTTGCCTTCATGCGTCATCTAAATAGAGTTAAAGATAGACTTTGCAGTCTCTCTATCTGTGATCTTCTCATATTCATTGTATGAAATAGAACTAAACATAACAGTTCTTGCTTTTAATGATTCTTGTAAACTTTCTTCTGTGCTTCTGTCATTGCACTTCTTGCAATCTTCTAACCTTTATTATATACTAGGTGAGTGTAGCCATTAACTACCAAATCCCATAGATCCAAGTCATACGCCAGAAAGTAACTTTTGATTTTATCCTTCCAATAGTCAAATTTCTCCCCATCAAATATATGAGGTTTTGAATTATAGTGATCTCTATCATTATCCCTATTATCAACAATAGAAGTAGGTGTAACCATTGGTTTTTCACACACACTGGATCGATACTGAACACTGTTAAGTGTTGATAAAAATGAAAACTTTTTATCTCCTCAGAACTGGAGCTCTGATGCCAATTGAAGGTGTGAAAAACACAAGAAAGGGGGGTTTGAATTGGGTTTTAAACCAAAACTTTTCTTTAAAAATATTCCCCTTTAATTAAAAATGCTTTTTCTCCACTCTTGATAATAACAATAATTAAGAACAGGAAGTAAAGAACAATGTATGTTTATACTAGTTCACTTGAAAACTATCAAGTTAGTCTAGTCCATCCGCCAAGGTGATTTCACCTTATCAATAAGGACTTAATCCAATAATCCAACTGATTATTACAATGCACAAACTACCTGCAAGTGACTAACAACAACTTCTAAGACACACTAATCTTAGACTTCTTAAGGATACATACCTAATCGGCCCCTTAAAGAAAATCAAATCTCTAAGACACACTAGTACTAGACTTCTCAAAAATACTGACCTAACCGTTCTCTTAAGGAAATCAAACAATTGTTTGAATACAAGTTTTGTTTACAAGAATATCGCTTCTACACAAGCATAATATGTAAACTATTTTAAGAACAATAGACTAAAAAAATTTGGAATTTATTCAGTGAAAATTGACAGCTTTCTCTCTTAGTCTTCAAGCCTTTATATAGCCAATAAAATAATATTCATTCAGGGGTACTTTTGGGATTTCCAGAAACATTGGCGGCTTGAGCAATCACGTGGGAGACAAGATCGTGCAACACGTCCGTCCTTTCATGGTAGTGGAATGAAACATTGATTGTACCATGTACTATTTGTACCATGTTAACGTTATCTTCTTTTCTTCTGCACTTCAGAGGCTTCTGCGAGCATGAGTTTAGAAGCGAGAACATAACACAAGGTCATTAGAACTTCAAGTCTTCAGAGTCTTCAGAACCGCGTCTTTAGAGTCTTCAACACTTGGTCGTGAGAACCTTTTTCTTAGAACCTTGGATCTTCAAAACTTCAAGTCTTCAGAGTCTTTAGAACTTCTATCTTCAGAGTCTTCAACACTTGGTCTTTAGAACTCTTTTCTTAGAATCATGGATCTTTAGAAACTTGAGTCTTTAGCATCTGGACTTAAGTAGAACTTCTGTCTTCAGATCTTTTGACTGGTTTCTTTAGAACACGTTATCTTCAGGAACACGAGTTTTCAGCATCTGGACTTAAGTAGAACTTCTGTCTTCAGATCTTCTGACTGGTTTCTTTAGAACATGTTGTCTTTAGAAGCATGAGTCTTCAACATCTAGACTTAAGTATAACTTCTGTCTTCATATCTCCTGACTTGTTTCTTTAGACAAACATTAAAGCCTACATTTCAGAAGCTTCTGGAGTGTCTTACTATTATTCATCAGAACTTGTGTAACGCACAAGCGGAACTAATTCTCTTCTAATGTCTTGGTCACGTCATCCATCAGAAATAAAACCTGTTTTTTAAATACTCAAAAATAACAAACATTAGATTATCAAAATTGTTCATGCAAACATACTCATTTGTTATCATCAAAACTCAGATAATATTGTAGAACCAAATCTTATTCTAACGTATTAGAGTTAACTGCGGTACTATTCATTTCTCATTCTTTATGTCGTTTCCATCACCCTCGTAAGTTAAGGTTTTCGCCACCGTTCCTTTTCCAATTCCACGATCTTTGAATCTCTCTCTTCTTCTTTTTTTTTTCTTTTTCTTGAAGTAACGATATGGATTATAGATGTTTAAAGATTAGGGTTTCTGCCACTGTTGAGCTATGAAGCCGCCGTCACTACAACCTTCACACAGTTCTCATCATCCTCACAACTCAAGCGCTTCTTTATCCTCACTAATCTCCTTATGCATGTTTGAAAGGTACTATATGTTCATATTTCTTAACTTAGACGTATTATGTTAGGATTTTATTTGTCTCACAAACTTCATTCAAGGTTTTGTTTTTGTGTGAGAGGCAAAGGTTATGGAAGATGAGATTCAAACCGCAATGTTTGAAAATTCTAAGTCACTATTAATATACAATGATAATGGAAAAATTCTTAAATATAGTAATTAATAATGATATAGTTTTAGTCTTGTTTATCAAATACATGCTTATTACTGTAATAAGAATTAAATGAATTTTTTTAAAAATAATTCATATGATTTTTCATAACATATTCTGTTCATTTTGAAGTGATATGTGTTTTCTGTTATGTCATCTCTAAAATTGAAATATGTTTTTGCTTAGTAATAGCTTCCAAGCACTTCAAATGCTCAAGGTAATAAATAGTCTTTTGTCTAGCATAATTATGAGGTTGAGTATATTGTTATAGTCATTGATATTATTTGATAGTTTAATATTTGGTTTCTAATTACTACTATTTCTCTAAAGGTGTGGTGCAATTCTAACAGAAGTAGATGTTGACGAGTCTATGTCCCATACCGAAACTCAAACAGTTGCAAACGATAATGGTAATGTTATTTTTAAAATTTGGTTATATCCTTTTTCTTCTCAATTATTTTTGTGTAGTTTGTTAGTTTAGTCAAAGCTTAGGGGAATTAGTGTAAAAATGTATGTAGTTTTGTAGAAGTGTTGTCCTTGTTGTTTATTTAAGCATGAATATTTCTTGTATTAGGATGAATTTAATTAACAAAATGAAAAATTAAGTAAACCAGTAAGCAACAAATTGTTATAAAGTGATGACCATTTAGTAGCTCGGTAGCAGTATGAAACTCACAGTCCAATTGCAAATGAAATCCGAAATAAACCGATTCAATTACCAAATCCATTCTAATCCGAATCCAAAAAAACCGATTGTTAAATAGGACCTGAGGGTTCGACCAGATTGAGGTTTTGGACCCGAATTCAAACTGGCCTGAACCGATGTTCACCCTAGATTGGCATTTAACAATCACCACCGTTCATTTCCACACATCAACGCCTCTCACCCACTCCCGAAAAACCTAAATTCTTTTTACCTTCCTCCTCCACCATAATCGCTTCCGAGATTGAATCCGAATTCTCTCACCATGACGTCACCGTCGCTCGCATCAACGACGGCGGTTTCGGTTCCTGTCCTTCCTCCGTCATCTCCGCTCAACAAAAATGGCAACTCAAATATCTCCGTCACCTCAAACTGGCAATCGATGATTCGCGTTGGATTATCAAAGACCTAGTCAACGAGCAACATCTCGATGAAAGATAACGCCAACACCGCTGCTGCTATTGTTCTTCAACACACCGCTTGGTGTTTCCGTTAAGGTAAAATCGACAAAGGTGATATTGTTTATTATGCTTCATTATGTCACGCTTGCTGGTGGAAAGGTGATTGATGTTCTCTTCCTTTTCCGGTGAGTTCTAAAGAAGAGATTGTTATTGAGTTTAGAAAGGCTTTGGAGATGGGAAAAACTGATGGTAGAATGTTTATTTTGTCTATCAACCATTCCCTAGATGAAGGGACATGGAGTGTTCCATTAGCCATATTGTTTTCAATGAAAAATCTTTCTCTTCACACGAAAGAGTTGTCAAGTTTATTATCTCCACGGTGTTGTTTCTTCACCAAGGTCCTATTCATGAAAGATTTGGAACTTATAAATAGGTCCGTGAAGAAACAACACAGCTTGACAACTCTTTCATGTAGAATAATTGACTTTTCATCAAAAACAAGATGGCTAATGGAACACCACATGACAAAACAAAATGGTTGTTCGCGTAGTATCTATTATCTTGTGGTGTCATGATGGGAGAAAGGTTAGGTTTGTGTGTTGTGATTCCTGTTAAGGAGTTGACTCAGATTTGTAGAGAGGAAGGTGTTGAACAGGTTTTTGTTTTTGTTGATGCTGCTCATTCCATTGGGTGTACTGGTGTTGACATGCAAGAGATTGGTGCTGATTATTACACTTTGCGTAAGTGGGTTTTTGTCTGCCTTCGGTTGCGTTTTTGTACTCTAGAAAAACCCTAACACTAGTGGTGGTGGTGATTTGCATCATTCTGTGGTGTCTCACGAGGACAGAAATGGGTTGGCTGTGGAAAGTTCTTGGATTGGGACTAAGGAGTATAGTTCTCAGTTGGTGGTGCCTGATGCCTTGGAATTTGTGAATAGGTTTGAAGGTGGTATTGATGGGAGAGATGTTGGCTAAGGCTTGGGGAACTCATCTTGGGATTCCTTCACATATGGTTTGCCTGCATGTTTGGGGATTCATAGTGATTCTGATGCTCTGAAGTTAAGGACACATTTTTAGGATGTTTTTGCAGTTGAAGTTCCTATATACTATAGACCACCTAGAGATGGAGAAGTGGAGCTTGTAACGGGATATGCTCCGATTTCTCATCAAATTTACAACAAAGTCGAGGATTATTACAAGTTTACGGATGCTGTTAACCAACTCGTGGATAATGGGTTTGCATGTGCTCTTCTTTCCCATTGAAGAGGTTTGCTCACATTCCCTTTTGACAATACTTTAAATTTTGCTCACATTCCCTTTTGACAATACTTTAAATTTTGAAATAATTGCCTGATGATAGGAATTGTGTTTTGCATTCATAAACGACAACGGTTAGGTTGATGATTGAATAAAGACCCCCCTAAAAGGTTCTCACACATGCAAGGGTTATATTTTGACTAATGATTACTAAGTGCCATTTTTCCTTGCAAACTAATAACTTTGTTCTGTTACATGCATAGCGGTTTCTTGTTACATGCATAGCGGTTTCTTGTGTAGAATACTTGTCAGGAATATTAAATGATTTAAGTTTGAGTTTTATAACTTATATTAATTATTTGCTTTGGTGTTGTTAAATTTTCATTACGATGTTTTGCGACCCTCTGATTTTGTTGTTTTGTTGTTCTCCTAGCTGGTGATCATTTAGCGTTGTTTTCTATGAAAACCGACAATTTATAGGTGTTTTATGTATGTCTATTAAAACCAGAAACCTATGCATGTCAGAAATATTAAATTATTTAAATTTAAATCTTATAAGTTGTATTAATGACTTGACTTTGGTGTTGTGAAATTTTGATTACGATGTTTGTCGTGACCCTCTGATCGTGTCGTTTTGTTGTTCTCCTTGTTGGTGATCATTTAGCGTTGTTTTCTATGAAAACCGCCAATTTATTGGTGTTCTATGCCTTTCTATTAAAACCAGAAACCAATGCATGTCTGAAATATTAAATGATTTAAATTTGAATCTTATAAGTTGTTCTCCTTGCTGGTGATCATTTAGCGTTGTTTTCTATGAAAACCGCCAACTTATTGGTGTTCTATGCCTTTCTATTAAAACCAGAAACCAATGCATGTCTGAAATATTAAATGATTTAAATTTGAATCTTATAAGTTGTTCTCCTGGCTGGTGATCATTTAGCGTTGTTTTCTATGAAATCCGACAATTTATTGGTGTTCTATGCATGTCTATTAAAACCAGAAACCTATGCATGTCAGAAATATTAAATGATTTTAATTTGAATCTTATAAGTTGTATTAATTACTTGACTTTGATGTTGTTAAATTTTGATTACGATGTTTGTCATGACCCTCTGATTGTGTCGTTTTGTTGTTCTCCTGGCTGGTGATCATTTAGCATTGTTTTCTATGCAAACCGACAACATATTGGTGTTCTATGCATGTTTGTTGAAACCAACGCATGTCAGAAATATTAAATGATTTAATTTGAATCTTATAAGTTGTATAATTACTTGACTTTGGTGTTGTTAAATTTTGATTACAATGTTTGTCGTGACCCTATGTTTGCCTTGTTTTGTTGTTCTCCACTTCTTCTGGCTAGTGATTATTTAACGTTGTTTTCTATGAAACCGACAACTTATTGGGGTTCTATGCATGTTTGTTGAAACCAACGCATATCAGAAATATTAAATGATTTAATTTAAATCTTATAAGTTGTATTAATTACTTGACTTTGGTGTTGTTAAACTTTGATTACGAAGTTTGTCGTGACCCTATGTTTGCGTTGTTTTGTTGTTCTCCACTTCTCCTGGCTGGTGATTATTTAACGTCGTTTTCTATGAAACCGATAACTTATTGTTGTTCTATGCATGTCTCTTGAAACTGATACATGTCAGAAATATTAAATGATTTAAATTTGTATCAGTTACATTCCTTTAGTGTTGTTGAATTTTGGATTGCGATGGTTGCATGGACATGTAATCACATGGTTTGTTGTTCTCTTGGCTGATGATTACTTAGTGTCGTTTTCTTTGCAAACTGATAACTTGTTGTTCTATGCATGTCTATCCAAACAAATACTCGGGTAAAATATTTGTCTGAAATACGTAATGATTGAAATTTGAATCTTAAAAGTTGTATTAGTTATACTTCTTTAGTGTTGTTGAGTTTTGGATTATGATGTTTGTCATGAACCTGTGATCATGTTGTTTTATTGTTCTCTTGGCTGATGATCACTTATCGTTTTCTTCGCAAACTAATAATTTATTGTTGTTCTATGAATGTCAGTTGAAACCAATACCCATGTAAATATTTTTCACAAATCTTAAATGATTTAAAGTTGAATTTTATATGTTGTATTAGTTACATTCCTTTAGTTTTGTTGAATTTTGATTATGATGTTAGTCGCGAACCCGTGATCATGCCGTTTTGTTGTTCTGCTGCCTGTTGATCTCTAAGGGTTATTATTCCCTTCAAAAACAAAACTATCTACTAGTAAACTTGTTGAAACTTTCCTGCATTTGAGTATAGAGCCAGCATAGTCTTTTGAAAGTGTTAAAAAAGAACCCATGTAGTAAATTTTGGTTTGATTTTGTTTATTCTTCTAGCTATGTTATGTGTATTTTCACTCATAACTGAACAATATTTTGTTTATTTGCAGTTGAGAAGTGTTGCGTCAGTGTCGTCTTTCTGATGAATAAAAGCAATGGATGTTGTAATTGCAGCTAGCTTGCTCGCAAGGTTCGCTAGTTGCACTGGTTCCGGTAACCGTGGACTGCATGTTTTGCAGGTAAACTTGAGCAATTAGCCATGTTAGATTTGCTGAGTAGAATTCCTTAGGGAGTGAGCAACTAAAATAGTGAGATGAGATCTATGGATGTATCATTGTAAATATAATGTGATTCTCTTATGATGTAATGATTTTCATAGTCATTGTGCCAAGTTGCCATCTGCTTCTTCAGGTTTATATCAAAGTTCTACCATAAATTTGAAGTTTGTCATTTGTATGCTTTATAGTTTTATATTTATAATTCATTTTAATTTTTAAAACAATTTTTATGAATTTTTTTTTGGAAAGTAAAGAAATCTGTGAGTTATCTCATTTGGAAACTTGATTCCTAATGTAACCAAAAACAGCCAATAAACTTGATTTCTTGTCTCCACCCTCCAATTGTTGACAAAACTGCAATATTATTTTTCTTTTTTTTCATTACTGCTGTTAATTGTTTCTTATTTATTTTATCCATTTTTCACTGAGATAAATAATTAAGGGTAACTTTTAAATCGACAAATAATTAGAAATACAAAATTTTAGTAAATCTTAAAAAGTGTAGTAAAAAAGTAAAGGAATGGAAGTAATACATCTGAACTAAATTTTATAAGTTGTTTTAATTATATTTCTTTAAGTTAAATCTGAATTACCATCGTGATCACGTGCAAAATTAGTTACATAATCCATGTACTTATTTGTCATATTTAAATTGTGACTAAATAGAAAACACATGTATTCATTTGTCATATTTAAATTGTGACTGAATAGAGTTTCATACAGGATTGTCAGAGTCTTAGTATGATAAAATAGTCTCATTTCAATTGTGACTAATAGAGTTTTATGGTAGAGGTGTATAATCGCTTGGTTAAACAATATGACCAAAATCAAAGTTTAATCAAAATAAAAGTGGGTTATATTAATAATTTTTCAAAAACAAAAATCAATGTTTGCTCAAAATAAGTAATTAAGGTTGAAGGATTCAATTTTAACTAAATTGTTTTAATCATATTTTCACTTAATATTTTAATTATTTTGGCTTGTTTTCTTGATTATTCAAAATTTATCTTAGTATATTTTTATAATCTAAGTGTAATTCAAAATTTATCTTAGTAGTTGTATATTTTATAAGTCATTGAATTTAAAATGAAGAGAGTACTCAAAAAAATTGTAGACAAATGAATTTATAATTGAATAATAAAGTGAATGGAATTTAAAATTATTTATTTTAACTATAAAATCAAACTTGATAGATAAGAAATATTATAGAGAGAAAGTGAAAGTTACTAATGTAGAATCTTGTACATAAAATAAAGAGAATTTAAGCCGGTTTATTTTTTTATATTTTTTATATTTTTTTTGTATTTTTAAAAACAGTTTTATTTTAAATATTAAAAGTTTTTAAATTTTTTTTTTTAATTTAAAAATTAATTTTGAATTCTATAATACAAACATATATTATTGATGACCGAAACATTTTTAAAATCGTAATTTAAAAAAAATTATATTTAAAAAATATTTTTTATAAAAATTCATTTAAAACATCTTTAAAATTAGGTGATTATTTTTTTAGTTTTTAAGGATTAAATATGTTTTTATCCCTATAAATATTTCAAATTTTATTTTAGTCCCTATTAAAAAATGATAAATTTTTATCTCAATTTTTTTATTCATGTAGTTTTAGTTCCTGTTATTTTTTAAAATTTTAAAAACTGTTTAATTATCTTTAAAATTTTAAATTTTTGAATTATATTTTTCATACGTGTTTAGAATGCTATTAACTATTTTTTTATCAAATTTTAGAATTTTTTAAAATGAGAAGAATTAAATAAGAATTTTTTAATTTCAAAACATATTAAAAAAAGTAATGAAAATCTCGATTTAAAAATTAAATTTTGAGTTTTTTTCTCGACAAATTATGTATAACGTTCTAAACATGTCTACAAAATAAGCATTTAAAAATGTACATTAGTTTAACAACAGATTAAAACTATTTATATAATAATTTTGTAGAAAATAAAACATATCATTTTTAATAAGAATTAAAAATGAAATTTAAGATATTTATAGAGACAAAAAACATATTTAATTCAATTTTTAATATAAAAAATATTATAATAAAATAATAAAATATTTAATATAGCATTTTAAAAATAACTATTGAAACTAAATTTTTATTTAAAGATTTTATTAAATTTTTTTATAAATTTTTTAAACAAAAATATATAACCTATAAAAATCATTATTTAAAAAAACTAAAACAAACATGTCATCTATGATAATAGCAATAAACTAGTTAACAAGTAATATTAATTTTTAAATTATTTTTTGAAAAATTTCAACATACCAATATGATACAATTAAAAGTATAATAATAAAATAATAATTAATAAATTAAAATTTTAAAATGACTCATGCAAAACACGACAACAAAAAAATATCAAATGTAGTGCATAGGACATATTTTATAGTGTTAATG